AGGCTGGGGGAAGATGGAGGCTTGCTGCCCGGGAGGGGGCTTCATTGCTCTGGTCATCTTTGGGCATAATGTGGCGTAGAGCAGAACAGTAGCAGTGACTAGGGGGGACAGAGACCAGAGCCACTTAGAAAGGCTACTAGGGCTGGTCACGGTGGGTGTGGGGGTGCGGGAAGAGCCTCCTGCGTGGAGAACTGGTGAGCAGTGCTGACACCCTCCAGGACGGCAACTCTGGCAGAAGCAGGTTTTGTGTTAGGTGAGGGTGAGGTGGTCTTGGAGGGCTGAGATTGAGGACAACGTGGAATATCTAAGGGTTGGGTTCCTAAGGCCACCTGAGATGGAAAGCTATGGGGTCACTATCTTTTTCTGCAAGACCTGCTTCCCCTTGGCATTCCCTGTTGTCCACCTGGTATGTAGGCCGTGGGGACCGCAGACCTGCTTGGAGACTTCTCCATGGGGAGGGTCTGCCCGGCTAGGCCCTAACCCTCTCTGCAGCCTGAGCTGTCCTGCTCCCCTCCGGATGCCTCTCTTTGGTGACCTGCTCACTTTCCACTGAGTTCCCCTCCCTCCTGGACTGCCCTTTCCCTCCCTCTCCTAAGTGCCTTTGCTGCTGCCTGCTCCTGAAAGTGTCCCCAGCCTTCTCTGCTCCCTGCAGCGAGTCCCCACTTCATCCTGCTGACTCCCGCCTCACAACCTCTAGCTTCCAAGCCCACAGACCCAGCCGGGGGACTCACGCTCACCATGGGGGTGGGTCTGAGTGGTTGAAGAGCACGTCCTCTTCCTCCCCCACCTGCTCCATCTCTCCCCTCCCACACCACTGCCTCATGCTGGGCCCTGGATGACTGGAACAGCCTCTTCTCTGTTCTCCTTGTCTCTGGGAACCCGCCTGCCACGCTCCCGGCCCCCAACCACACCATCCACCCATTACTAGAGCCAAAGTCATCATTGTCAAGTAGGCCTGGGCTCCTCCTTCCTGCTGAAAACCCTCTTCTCCACACCTACCACGGTCACCTGCAGGGTCCAGTCCAAACCCCTTAGGGGTTTCTGAGCTGACCTTTGCCCTCCTTCCCATCAACTCCCACCATTCCTCTCATGCCCTGCACTCTCCGTGTGATGGGGAGCCAGCCTGTTCCCCCAGGAAGTGCCCCTGCTAGGCCTTCTTGCCCCAAGGGCTTGTTTCCTCCTTTCTTCCTCCTCTCAGCACAGTCCTCCTCCTTTGTCGGAGTTCGGGCTAACCATCCCTTCCTTCACTGGGATGTGCAGGCCCGGTGCTTGCTGGGAACGCCACTGACAAATCTCCCGTGTGCTGGCTGGCTTCTGTGGTTTATCTCCCTGGTAATGTTCACGGAGAATTTATTTACATCAGAAGGAGACAAACTCTGCCTCGGATGTCAGACTTCACAGGCTCCTTCGAGAGAGAGAGTCAGGGCAGAAATGCCGCGCAACTTGGTAACACAAATAAACAGCACCACTGCCCTGGGTTTGAAGCCAAGCAAGGCCAGCCTTGCCTCCCTTCCCTCTCCTCCTGGGGCCTGAGAGAAAAGGACCTCAGCTCCACTGCTCAACGTTCAAGGCCTTTATCAGTGTAGCCCTTGCTTTCCTGCCCAGTCCAGCTCTATCATCTCTGCTTATCCCTTCTTTTTTTTGGCCGGGACTGGGTTTGAACCTGCCACCTCCAGCATATGGGGCCAGCGCCCTACCCTTCTAAGCCACAGGCGCTGCCCCAGTCTCTGCTTATCCCTTCAAGTTCAGAGGTCCTACCTAGTAAGTCCCTAAGCATGCCATACTCCCCAACTGCAATGACTCTTGCTGTTTCTCTGCCAAAGACACCCTCTCCCCTGAGGCTCGGCAGGCAGACAGCCCTCAGTTGGTGGATTGTGCCAGCTCAGTGCCCAGAGTGCAGCCAGACCCTGACTACCTCTCGCTGTTCCAGCCTGGTTCAGGCCACCATTGCCTCTCACCCGGATCATTAGGGCAGTCTCAAGAGGCCACCAGCTTCTGCCCTTACCCTCTTTGATTCATTGTCTACCTGGCAGCCATAGGGATCCTGTTAATAACACAAATGAGATCTTGTCATCCTCTACCTAGCACCCTCCACCAGCCTCTCATCTCGTTTAGAGTAAAGGTCCACGTCCTCCCAGGGGCCTCTAAGGCCCTCCGCGGTCTGGCCTCCACTGACCGTGCTCCCTGTCGCTCTCCCACTGCTCCAGCCTCTGAGTTCTTGGTGCTCTTCAATGGTGCCAGCCTCTGTACCCCATGACCTTAGTGTTTACTGTTCCATCTGTCCAGAATGTGCTTCACTCTCCTAGACAACCACATGGCTCCTTCCCTCACTCTTTCAGATCTTGGTTCAAATGTTGACTGCTCAGTGAGGCTTTCCCTGACCACCCTTTCTGAAATGTCCATACCTCACTCCCAACCAGGGTACAGTGCCTGCCCCTCCACACTTATCACCACCTCATAACCACAGGGCTTACTTATTCATCTGGAAATTGTCCTTATCCCTCTGACCAGAATGTA